TAATTCAAGTATATAACAAGATACATGTATATGGCTTCTGTAGAAAGGTTAACTAGGAAAGACATACAAAATATACTGTAGTGTACTGTAGATTTTTTATTTAACTAATGTGTATGTACAACATCTATATATATGTTACATAGTTCAAGCAAGCCTGAGATCTGTACGAAACAAGTACGAGGGTATGGTAAAACCAGGCTAGGTAAGAACAAAGCGGCGTCTTGTCAATTATCAAACCGAGCTTTAGCAAATGCGATGCTATATTGTCTTCCTTCTTTTCGAATACTAATTTGCTGTTTCCAATAACTCCACCAACTCTTAAATTTGTCTCGCAAAGCCTGCAGCTATCGTTCACAGCCATCTTCGTCTCCAAACCCGCATTTCTCTCTCGGATAAAACTTCCTTAGCCTGGTTTTACCATACCCTCGTACTTGTTTCGTACATCCCGGGAAAAAAGATTTGACCGGAGTTTACGGATGGCAAAGGCCAGGCTACAACTTCCTGTAAGCGTCACTTCTTCTTCTTCTTCTTGAAATCTCCGGCATGCTGTATGCAGGAATGCACAAGGCTGCCCCCAAGAGTTATGATAGCTTGCGTCACTCACTCGGGCGCATAACATACGTCACAACCAAACGCTAGTGATTGGATAAAATCAGATCCAATCGTTTCAAACTTTAAACAAAGTTCACCCCTCCCACTTGTAAACGGAGCTCAATTGAGAAAGTCCAGACCCTTTGTACGAAACAAGTACGAGGGTATGGTAAAACCAGGCTAGCCCCCACTGGTTTCCATCTGTATTTGTAATAGACATTCATATATTGTTTTGACCATTCAAGGCCTTATGGGAAAAAAAACTTGCAACTGACAGAACAATGATTTCTGACTGTGTTCACAATGATCAACAAAAGAACTATAGGGAGAGATGTGAGTTTAAAAACAAGTGTAAAATGACACAGCAGCGAGAATGCTTCAGTTTGGGAAATAAGGATCCTCCACATTGGACTTCAGGAAAATCTGTTTAAATAACCTGTGTGAATTATAATTGGGAAGTTGAATATTTAGAAATATTCCTAAACAACTGGTGCATAAGCAATTCAGAATAAAAATATAATAATATAAATTATGGAGGAATTTAGACCAAAAATGTTTTGTTTCAATATTTTGTTCGAACCTTCTGCCATTTGTTCTCAGGAAAACCAAGACTCAGGCCACTGGCTGCCGGGGTAGTGCCAGAGGGCAGATGGAACACAACTGCCACAGTCAAAATACCTTTGAATTAAGTAAGTAAGGTTTATTTATATACCGCCTTTCACAGACCAGAGTCACAAAGCGGTTTACAATTGTTATTTTTTTTTTGGGCATTTGTCTCTCACTCCACACAGAGATGGGAGGGGCCAGTACAGGAGGCACATGCCAGACCTATTGTACATATTTTTAGTGGTAGGGGAAACCGGAGTACCCGGAGGAAACCTACGCAGACACAGGGAGAACATGCAAACTCCACTCAAAAAGGCCCTGGTCTGGCCGGGATTCGAACCCAGGACCTTCTTGCTGAGAGGCAAGAGTGCCATCCACTCAGCCACCGTGCCGCCCAGTTGTGAAAAGATACAGTATGGGAGTCATTTATTTATATTCTGAGTCTTTAATGACTTCCTGAGTTGTAGTAAGTAAGTAAGTTTTTATTTATATACCGCCTTTTCACTGCAGATCTGAGTCTCAAAGCGGTTTACAATTGTTAATTTTGGGCATTTGTCTCTCACTCCACACAGAGATGGGAGTGGGGTCGCCAGTACAGGAAGCGCATGTCAGAACTATTGGACATATTTTTAGTGGTAGGGGAAACCGGAGTACCCGGAGGAAACCTACGCAGACACGGGGAGAACATGCAAACTCCACTCAGAAAGGCCCTGGTCCGACCGGGATTCGAACCCAGGACCTTCTTGCTGAGAGGCGAGAGTGCTATCCACTCAGCCACCGTACCGTTGTAGAGTGAGGATGTTGCATTCTCTCTGTGTTAAAGCTAATTACAGATGAAAAATGGAGACCGGAGCCGATATTCCCTCCCCAAACATCGGGGCGAGCCAACCCAGGATAACTACGATGAAGATGATGGAGATTTCTACGATTATTCTGTGGATTGTGAGCTCAAAGTTTGTTGTTCATCAGACTTTCATTTGATGTTAACTGTGTTTTCAATGAAGCTAAAACCTGCAGTAAGAGACAGAAGACTTCAGACTGCCCCCCCCCCCCCCCCCCCTAGAATGTTAGGGTCTATTGTGTCCATTAGCAGCAGTTAGTAGGAAGTCATTTGTGATTTTAACTAGTGCTGTTTCAGTCTTATGAGGAACTCTGAATCCAAATTGAATAACTGCAACTATATTATTTTCCTGAAGGTGGCAGTATTGTTTAGCTTTAAGCTTTTCCAGTATTTTAGATGTAAAAGGAAGATTTGAAAAGGGTCTGTAATTTGTCATTAATTCAGGGTCGAGATTGTTTTTTTCAGAAGATGACCAAGTTTTGGAAGCTTGTGGGACTTGGCCACTTTCTAAAGATGTATTATATTTAAGATTTAAGATATTTATTATAAGATAAGAAATATTTAAGATCTATTATTAGGGGGAGAGTGTCGTTGAAGAGCCTGGTTGGGATTGGTTCTAAAAAGTTGAAGTTTTAGGAGATGTGAACAGAGATCACTTCTGCTTGTCTCACTAATGTTGGAGTTGGTTACATCTTGTTTGTCTCTGATAGTTGTCGTTTTATTTTTAAAGAATTGAAGGAATTCAGGACCCTCCTGAAAACGAGATGATGCATCTCAAGAGGCTATTCCTCGTAATAAAGATATGTCAATAATAATAAGTCAACACCGCTCAGGAAATTGGTATCTTAGGCTCCACTACACCCTGGCAGTGTACGGAAGCCCGTTTACGCCATGTAAAAAAAAAAAAAAGCCTACAGAAACTCATAATTACGAGTTTTAAACTCATAATTTCGATACATGGCAGAAACGGGCTTCCACAGCAGTGCCTTTGTTTCTATGCTGAACAAGAATCTAGTGTTATTGTTATTTACTTCTATTGAAGTTGAATAGTTATGAGTTTGGGCCGTACACATGTTATTCTTATAGTTTAAAAACACACACACACACACACACACACGCACACGCACGCACGCACACACGCACGCACGCACACACACACGCACACACACACACGTTCAAAGACACAGACAAATACAAACATGTTGCACACACGTTTTATATGATCACACACAGGTTGGATTCTGTACACTCTGGGGCTTTAATGGGACTTCCAACTGGACCGTACCAATCAACAGATCACTGTCAAATGTGTTTTTCTTTGTTCATTATTTTTTCTTTCTTTCTTTCCCACAACAGCCACTGATGCTCCCCATCTTGAGTGCATCATTCCTGGGTGTTCTATTTTTACCATTTTGGACTATTTTGAGATTCTAGATCCACAACAGCCACTGATGCATTCTGCACAAGGGCCCTGGAAAGTGGCAGGAACTCCCAAGTAGCTCTGAAACAATTTTTTTTATTTTTATAGTTTTTTTTCTACCTGAGATGTTACTGCAGTTCAGTGTTCATGGTTTTACACTGGTCCAGACCAGAGCAGAGAGGATTCATGGTTTTACACTGGTCCAGACCAGAGCAGAGAGGATTCATGGTTTTACACTGGTCCAGACCAGAGCAGAGAGGATTCATGGTCAGAACCAAGTGGATCAGGTGAAAATCCACAGGAGCAATGCTAACTTTATGAAAAATGCTAACAAAGCATTTAGCATTTTACTTTGGACCAGAGCCGAGAAAATGGTCTGAACCAAGCGGCTACTCCACCTCTGCTGCTGTGACCCGTCCTGCTCCACCCAGAGGCTACTCCACCTCTGCTGCTGTGACCCGTCCTGCTCCACCCAGAGGCTACTCCACCTCTGCTGCTGTGACCCGTCCTGCTCCACCCAGAGGCTACTCCACCTCTGCTGCTGTGACCCGTCCTGCTCCACCCAGAGACTACTCCACCTCTGCTGCTGTGACCCGTCCTGCTCCACCCAGAGGCTGCTCCACCTCTGCTGCTGTGACCCGTCCTGCTCCACCCAGAGGCTACTCCACCTCTGCTGCTGTGACCCGTCCTGCTCCACCCAGAGGCTACTCCACCTCTGCTGCTGTGACCTGAAGGGCTGTTGCGAATTACTTTTGTTAGCTTTTTAGAATGATCAATTTGATTTTTTTATATTTGCTGCTACTGGACACCTGAATTTCTCGTGGATCCATAAAGTATCTATCTATCAATGAAATGAACTGTAGAAGGTAATCTTATGTTCTTTTCAGTGGTTTTTCAAAGTTACCTTCTTTTGTAAATGACACATTAGACTCTAAAACGGCCGTGTTGTTCTGCACCATCTTTTTGTTTATTTAAAAATGCCAACGGCCGTTATAACGTTTATTTGCATTGTAATAACACGTCACACCTATTCATAAAATAGTGTAAATGTAAATGATCTATATTACTGTAACCTTGTAAAAATGGCACTTACATGAATGACTATTAATTATCAACTTTTTAACCACTGAGCACTATGCTAATGAGCAGATACTAAAAAAAGTGTTACACCAGATTTTCCAATGTGGATGCATCAGTAGCAAATCAAGAGACAAACACGAGTAAATCCATGCTTTGCTTTTAATCACGTCATAGAAAAAGTATTTCTGATTCATCTTTGAACACAATATACAATTGAATACCGTACATTGTGTGACACATTAAATAACCCACCTGGATCAAGGAAAGAGGTGAACCATCTTTCATGCAGTGCGAAATCTGGCTAACCATTTGGACACAACTAGGACTGTAAAAGCTTAAACGTAGATAAACGTAGAACAATGCTAATACTGACGGATTAGAATTTCAGAACTGCTAACATGTTTGGTCAGAGTTTACAGAGTAGTTAGTGGTGGCGTGTTGTGGCATGCTCCCAACGCGCCCTTAGTCCCAAGTGAAGTGTGAGTCCAACTGTCCGGCCTGCGCTCTGCCCCAGACTGGAGGAAGAAGGAAAGAGAGGACTGGAGGGTTTCTAAAGCGATAGTCAGACTGGAGGAAGAAGGAAAGAGAGGACTGGAGGGTTTCTAAAGCAATAGTCTGGAGGAAGAAGGAAAGAGAGGACTGGAGGGTTTCTAAAGCGTTAGTCGGACTGGAGGAAGAGGGAAAGAGAGGACGGGAGGGTTTCTAAAGCGATAGTCTGGAGGAAGAAGGAAAGAGAGGACTGGAGGGTTTCTAAAGCGTTAGTCGGACTGGAGGAAGAGGGAAAGAGAGGACGGGAGGGTTTCTAAAGCGATAGTCTGGAGGAAGAAGGAAAGAGAGGACTGGAGGGTTTCTAAAGCGTTAGTCAGACTGGAGGAAGAGGGAAAGAGAGGACTGGAGGGTTTCTAAAGCGTTAGTCGGACTGGAGGAAGAGGGAAAGAGAGGACGGGAGGGTTTCTAAAGCGATAGTCTGGAGGAAGAAGGAAAGAGAAGACTGGAGGGTTTCTAAAGCGTTAGTCAGACTGGAGGAAGAGGGAAAGAGAGGACTGGAGGGTTTCTAAAGCGATAGTCAGACTGGAGGAAGAAGGAAAGAGAGGACTGGAGGGTTTCTAAAGCAATAGTCTGGAGGAAGAAGGAAAGAGAGGACTGGAGGGTTTCTAAAGCGTTAGTCGGACTGGAGGAAGAGGGAAAGAGAGGACGGGAGGGTTTCTAAAGCGATAGTCTGGAGGAAGAAGGAAAGAGAAGACTGGAGGGTTTCTAAAGCGTTAGTCAGACTGGAGGAAGAGGGAAAGAGAGGACTGGAGGGTTTCTAAAGCGATAGTCAGACTGGAGGAAGAGGGAAAGAGAGGACGGAGGGTTTCTAAAGCGATAGTCTGGAGGAAGAAGGAAAGAGAAGACTGGAGGGTTTCTAAAGCGTTAGTCAGTCTGGAGGAAGAGGGAAAGAGAGGACTGGAGGGTTTCTAAAGCGATAGTCAGACTGGAGGAAGAAGGAAAGAGAAGACTGGAGGGTTTCTAAAGCAATAGTCTGGAGGAAGAAGGAAAGAGAGGACTGGAGGGTTTCTAAAGCGATAGTCAGACTGGAGGAAGAAGGAAAGAGAGGACTGGAGGGTTTCTAAAGCGATAGTCAGACTGGAGGAAGAAGGAAAGAGAGGACTGGAGGGTTTCTAAAGCAATAGTCTGGAGGAAGAAGGAAAGAGAGGACTGGAGGGTTTCTAAAGCAATAGTCTGGAGGAAGAAGGAAAGAGAGGACTGGAGGGTTTCTAAAGCGATAGTCTGGAGGAAGAGGGAAAGAGAAGACTGGAGGGTTTCTAAAGCAATAGTCTGGAGGAAGAAGGAAAGAGAGGACTGGAGGGTTTCTAAAGCGATAGTCAGACTGGAGGAAGAAGGAAAGAGAGGACTGGAGGGTTTCTAAAGCAATAGTCTGGAGGAAGAAGGAAAGAGAGGACTGGAGGGTTTCTAAAGCGATAGTCTGGAGGAAGAGGGAAAGAGAAGACTGGAGGGTTTCTAAAGCGATAGTCAGACTGGAGGAAGAAGGAAAGAGAGGACTGGAGGGTTTCTAAAGCAATAGTCTGGAGGAAGAAGGAAAGAGAGGACTGGAGGGTTTCTAAAGCGATAGTCAGACTGGAGGAAGAAGGAAAGAGAGGACTGGAGGGTTTCTAAAGCAATAGTCTGGAGGAAGAAGGAAAGAGAGGACTGGAGGGTTTCTAAAGCAATAGTCTGGAGGAAGAAGGAAAGAGAGGACGGGAGGGTTTCTAAAGCGATAGTCTGGAGGAAGAGGGAAAGAGAAGACTGGAGGGTTTCTAAAGCAATAGTCAAACATGTGGTCTGCACGGAGAACCACAGCGCTGCAGTCACATGAACACTCCTCCAGCCCCAGTCCATGTTTGGTCCTTCTTATACCAGCACATGGCAACACTTTGGCAATCAGCTACAGGTTTAATATGTTTAAGCCAGACCGCAAATGTCCAAAGAAATAAATAATGCATCGTTTTGGTTTGCGTGTCGCTTTGAGGCAGTGGTAAAAAATAAATTGAATGACTAGTTTGGAGCTCCAGAGTGTTCATATAACAGCTTGCACTGTTGTTTTAGGTGCTTCTCTGCCGGGCACTAAATTATTGTGCGAATATATACTTATATATTTATATATATAAAATCAATATATAATAGAGATATAAAAAGACTCTGAATCAGAGTCTTCTACACATAGACACCACCACTTCCAGGTAATGCAAGTGCATATAAATGAAACTAGATCTTACACTCAAACAGGATTTCTTATTTACAAGCTTAAAAGTATAAATACACACTGTTATAAACAGCAAAAAGGACCAACTTGAGCTCCCAGTGACAAACAGACAAGGAGTGAGTGATGGGTAAGGCCGAAGAGTGTCCGTGTCTCGCTGAGGCTGGATCATGTGGAGTATCAGGCCAAACTGTCCAACACCCACATGACTTGAACGTTGTTACAGGTTTTACCAAACCCAGGAGGGATTATGGCGCGAGTGAGTGGAAGTTTCTGGGGAGAACACAACATCCACTATCCAACTTTACTGGACTACACAATTATAGTTTTATACATCTGTTCTTCCACTAAGATTTTTAAGCATTCGCTTTATTCTTTATATGTAACTTATGTATTTTGTTTTTGGCTCTGTAATGTGTGCTGCAATACTGACTGCAATGATGTTAGAAAGTGCAATGGGACCATGTGCCCATTTCACTGTCAGCCCATTCCCTCAGGCTGCTAACATGTTCTGTACTGACAGAACTATCAACATGGTCCTGAAGATCACTCACATTCACACTCTAGAGAGTTTTATAGAAGAATCTATAAATGTATACTTTCGTTTCTTAAAACCAAATACACTTAGCTTTAGTACTGTAAGTATACATTTCTTTGCACTAGAATATATGTTTTTTACTTCTTAGTAAAACAAAACAAAAATCAAGTTAAAACATTTGATTTGATTTTGCAAGTATAGAGTTGTGTTCACTTCTCTAATGTTGTGTTCTCTTCATTACTACTGTTCTATAACATGTGACACATTTCCGCATTGTGGGACAAACAAATCCCAATCTTGTGAAATTGATGTGATAGAATAACATTATTCTATCAGATTAATCTCACAAGAACAGACTCAGCTCCAACCCCATCAGAATACATCTCTCAGATTGGAAGGATGCCGTGAGTCAAAACATCTCCAAACTCAGCCCACATTTTTATATCACTGAAGATATTTCTGACCATTTACCAAAAACAAAATCATGAATCCAAGTCATTCTTAAAAAAATATTTAACAAACAATATTTTAAAAAACCAGATCGGCGGGAGGGAGTCTTTTGACGTCAGTGGAAAAGGCCTGATTGTCTGGGGCTGTGGAGGGTCTATTGGCCCCTTCAGAGATTACAAAGGGGCCCTAGACTGTTCAAAGTGCAGCATAACCAGTGGGCTAAATGAACATACAGAATTGTGTCGAAGTTATTAGGTTATTGTATAATCAATATAATGGTTATTGACAATTTGAATCTGCTTTTCCAACGCCTGGTGAATTCTCATACATTTTGTCACAATCTGTGCAAAATATGATAAGGTACTTCCGACCACAGCTTTAAATAATTGTCCTAGTCATTTTATCACTTTTTCACTGTTATTTGTTTTCAGGTGCAATAATAGTAATAATAATATATTTTTACACATATTGTTTAGTGTTGCACAACTTCAGGTGAGAATTGTTTGAATTGGCGTTTTTCCTCCGGTTCACACCAAAAGGCCAGACAGAGATTGGTTTGATCAATGCAGCAGGTGGCGAGATACACATGGAGAAATGGATTATTACTTTATTGTCAAGTTTGCATCAAAGAACAGGTTTTGGTGTGAAACGTTTCGGAAGCACCAGCGTTTGCAGACCCGGGAGAGTGGACGAAAGCCCAGCGAGACACATGGACGCTTTTCATGTTTGTTCGTCAACAATGGTTTGGATATCTCTATGACCCAATAAGTGGAAGACTGGTATTTAAACATACAAAAAGCTCTTTCAGATAAGAAAAGGAAACATTTTACAGACAAACTAGAGTGTTCAATAAATAAAATAACTATTATAAAGACAATAGTAAAAAAGGCACATAAAAGTCCTTTGACAAATGGTACGAGAAAAAAGTAAACACTTTTTCTATACAAACGTCTCCATCAGTAGATCTTACTATATGCTACTTCTAGATCATATTGTTAAAAAAAGCGTCTCAAGGTACAAAACATCTCTCAGTAGTGTCATAGTCCATGAATGCCAGTCCAGAATAAAACGCACGTTCCAAACTGGCCAAAAATCCTTCAAGTTCACCGTCAAGTCTTGCGTCCGCCAAGCCAAGTAATTCCTGAGAACTCTGAAGCCTTCTTGCCAAAGCAATCCGTTCCAAAGTGGCTTCAAACGCCCAAGTGCAAGACCACCGCCTGTGGCTAAAACTAAAGCCTTGCCTTTTGTGGGCTTGGTAAAAGCTCAGCAGCAAGAGGACAGAACCTCTTCTTCAAAAGATCAGGAGCGCAGAGCATGTGTACCCTATGTATCGGTGGGAGACGGTTCTTGCGTGACGATCTCGATAGCTGTGGTGGGCTCCATGTCGTCCTGGTCCTGACTGTCCAGATAGTCCAGCGGAGGAGACCGGGACAGACTATCTTCCTCCTCATCATCGTCGTCATCCTTCTCCATCCCGTCCAAGTCCTCCTCCTCCAACGTGAGCTCGAACTGGAACTTGTCGCCTTGTCCGCCCTGACCCGCTCCCAGTCCATGCGGGGCCTGCTCGTAGAAGGGCGGGGAGGGCGACTGAGGGATCATGCTCTGGTACCAGTTGCGGTTGTCTTCCAGCGTATCCAGGATGTCCTGAGCGTCCGGGTGAACCAGGTCGGCCCACGTCTCCCACAGAGGGTGCACGATGTAGTCGATGAAGCCCACCTGCGCAGGGTGAAGGATATACTTTTAAAAAATCTCATGGATAACAGGATAACAATATTTTACTCTATACAATTAACTGAGAATACAATTCATAATGAGTAATGACGGTCATCTTTACCTTTGATGATCCAATTATTTTCCACCTATGCCTAATTGTGCTAATTTCTTTAGAATAAAACTGTTTAAAAAAAAAAAACTTTTATAGCATACAAAGTCAAAACACAATTTCAACAGATACAATACTGAAGATGTTGTTCCTTTTTTCCTCTCCTAATATTTAAAATTAACCTATTCCATGAAACAACTTCTATATTATCCTATTAGAATTAGAAACAAGACTCATTTGCAGACTGAAAACCCATATCTGTGGATCTTTACGTCCATCTGAGCAGAATGGAGAGCTGCGTACCTGGCTCTTTTCTACTGAAGCTGTGTGCTTGTCGCACATGGGGCTGATCTCCATGCCCCTCTCTCTCTCGCGATCGCCCTGATGGAAGAACTCTTCCATAATGCGGTCGGTCCACTGCCGGTACAGCTCCAAGGACTTTGTGGGGTTGCTGAGATCTGCACAATGAACCATGTTCCGTAGAACCTAAAACAAAAAACATATATTTAGATTACAATAATTAGAAGACTTTTATTTATTTATTTAGAGGATTAGCCCCTTGAGATGAATCATCTCGTTTTCGAGGGGGTGACAGATACAGCAAAACAGATGCAAATAAAACAAAAATACATCAAAAATACATGAATCCTAAAAAAAATAAGCGGCGGTGCTTCGCTTATTTTCCGCGCGCCGGTTGACTATTGTCAATCTCACTCACAGACCGGACTCTACAGCGGCTCATATCTCTGTGAATACTAAGTCTTTTTGGACACTTTAAATATAAAAACAGATTTCAGACTCTCATCTGTTGCGTAGACTGCATGTATGTATGTCCTTCTGGGCAACCATGCACCGGGCAAAGGGTTGGTGACCCCTGCTCTACACTCCCTTTGCCTGGGAGGGAGTGTAGCTCACTGGGACTGTTAAAAATTCAGTAATGTGCAGATATTAGGACAATTGTAAATAATTGTGTGTTGTATGTATTGTCATATTTGAAATGTTTTATAAATATCAATTAGGTAATTTTATTTGCATCTTTTGAGTCATCATGGAACTTCGGAGCTGTATTTTCTAATAATTCAAACATAGTTCTATATTAATTGAATACAATGACATGTTATTGGACTACGCACCTGTATTCTGTCCGTATAGTTGTCCAGCAGCAGCACTCCAGAACTTGTCACCTTCTTCGTCTCCACCATTGTTTTCAGATCTGCCAGTAGACTCATATGCTTTGACATGTCGGTGGCTAAAACCTGCAGAGAATGGGAACTTGAGGACCAGCTCAATTTGAACAATTAGGCTGTTCTCATTTTGACACCATACCATGTCAATGACCATTTTGCGTAGTGACTGGCGTTGCTTTTTGGTGAGGTTTTGAAAGATGTCGCAGTTGTCTTCTTGCAGTAGTTTGAACCCCACGGCTAAGTGATGGTTTTCCAACACCGATTCGTCATTGTACATCAATGCCAACTCGGAATCTGGAATCACAATCAAAAGATACGTGGCACTTAATTCAACTTTAATAAAGTCAACTTTTACTAATTTAATTCATGTGCAACTTGGTCACATGTATCTATATTGATTGCTCATGGGGCCTACACTATTTCACAAGTTTGTAGATATTTCTAGTCGCAAAAAGGCTCTAGCTTTGTTTGGGACAATGCAAGTGTCGGCTGGGCGAGAAGGCTCAAAAGTGCAATCTCCATGTTTTGCCCTTTTGGAAAGATTAAGATTTAAATAGAGTTTCCGTGTTATCTATTTTTGAAGGACTTTTGGGATTCTTTGAGGACTGCCCAGTTGTTCGCACTTGTGTTGTGTGCCTCGGCTAAACCACCAAGTGAAGCAAAGACAGAATTCAAGTAATTTACAAGGCATTATTTTTGGACTTTGAATTATAATATTTGGTACAAACAACTTTGACTTACTGGTGTTGATTAAAAACTGGTTTGACACTCCCGGATGGTCTACATCGTGGATTGCTGCAGCAAAGATGGCGGCCAAAATCTCCAGATCAGTAAAGACGGCCTGAGCCAAGACAAAGAAGGTACTCATCATTCCAGCCAATCTGTGACTACATTTATCAACATAATTCAAAAATCTATGATGTACTGTAAGTGAAAACATTGCAGCCGTAAAATTGGCCAGATGTGGAACTGAGGGATGATTAAAAAAGGTGGAGAACTAATAGGAAAGTGTATAATAATAAACAGTGAGATATTTGCTCATGGAAAGCTAAGAAACAATGTTAGAAATGTTAAACATGAGGGAAGTAGGATTCGTTGGAAGTAGAGGTACAGGGTGGTGGATAGATATGAAGGAAACAATTACAATATGGTTTAAAGCCTAGCGTACATGGACAGAGTAACTGGAGACAACTAGTTTCACGGCGGCTTTTGGCGACGGAGAGCAGATGATGGAGATGATCAGTTGAAATCGGTCGATGTGAGCGCTCTTACAACTGGAGATAAACAGTCGATCTCCGGATTCAGTCAGTTGCCCGTGTTCTACTTTTCGGCAACTAGTTGTCCTCAGATCCGGAGATATCACCCGATGTGCTCCAACAACATGTGTGTATTGTGCGCCCTCTACAGTTTATGTCAGAAAGCACACTGTAGTTGAGACTGGCCTGATACAGGAGTTGCCCGTTTTTGCCAGATTGTTGATGTGTGCGGGGCAGCAACTCATAGACCACGGATATAATCAGTTGCCAGTCCGATGTACGCTAGACATGAAGCTCCTAAAATGTGTATAATTGCATTATCTTTCTCTTGTTGCTCCACTTCCAATGAATCCTACTTCCCTCTTGTTGAACATTTCTAACATTGCGTCTAAGCTTTCCATGAGCAAATGTTGTGAGTGGTGTTACAGGAGTTCTTATACTGTATATTTATATTGGCATGACACATGGTCTTAAGAAGTGATTACAGTACAACAGTATACCTTAACCTTATTGTTAATGGAAAATCAGTTCCATGTCTAATAAATAATCTCAAATGTAAAAGGCAGCTTAGAGATATCAAAGGAGTCAATTGATTCTAGTGGGAGCAGGAAGAACACTGAAACTCTGAAATCTCCACATTTGTCAGAAACTTACGTCAAGGGCAGGGGTGGAGAGGAGGATGTGCGTGGACTGGGCCACGTCAGCAGCATGGAGGCTGTTATGGTAGGCCACATCAGCGTGGTAGTGATCTTCTAGTGTCATCATGTAGGCCACAAAAGTGTCGGCTGGGATCTTGAACGTCTTCAACAAGTCCCGCTCCTACAGACAACAGCAACAGTCAGAGGAGCAGAAGGAGGTATGTCGTAAGATGTGAAGTTTGCTTTGAAATATTGGACGGGAGTGGGTGGAAGATCTGGAAAAATTGTCTTGTCTCTGTGAGTGGGTGAGGGGGATAGAAGTTTTTGATGCTTTTGCTTCATCCATCCCCTAGCCTGGTCGTACCACACCATAGTACAAATTACATTTCGTACTAAGGTCTAGAGGTGCTCCATTGAGCTCCGTTAACAGGTGCAAGGGGTTAACTCCTTTCGCAGATTGAAACGATTGGATCTGAGTTTACCTATTATCTATTAAAATAACTGGATAGGGTATTACTAGCTTGGAGCTGAAGAACCCATGTACTCGGGGGATTCTCGCGGTACTGCAGACTGAACCAGACTAAATTCACGTGGGCTACCCAGAAATTTTCCCCATAGAACTCAATGCATATTAAAACAGCTCAACCTCAGCTGACAGAGAACCTGACAGAGAACCTACAGCTTTCATAAAGGTCGGATTTTGTGGGGATTTTAGTGTGTCTTGTCATCCTGAACTTTTTTTCTTCTTAAATCCTTTGGTTTTCTTTAAATCCCGAACATTAGTGCCATAAACTCTGCTCATCTGGCTCTGGCTCTAACTCCCGCTCTGATCAGCAGCTCTGATTGGTCAGAGCGCAGCTGAGCCCCTCTGTGCACGTGCATGATACCCACACATGCGTATTTCGCTCAACGCATCATGGGAGATCATCCACTGCGCAGAACCGGGAGGACCAGACGTTTCCCATGGATCTTTGCGAGTTCCAGGCGAGTTACGCTAATATGTCAGCCCCCGCGCCAGCACAAAGCGCCACTGAGCACAAAGCATTCATTTGAATACGGCGCCATCTTGGATCGCCGGGGCTTGGTGAAAAGCCTCCCAATGCGGCGACAGCTCTGGTCTTACCTGAAAGATGGCGTACATGATGCAGGTGAGAGGCCGGTGGTGGGAGTACTCTGACACGGTGAAGATGTTCAGGCCCCACTTGTTGAGGTCTTCCAGCTCTTTGGACAGCAGCTCCTCGCGGTCGGTCTTGACCCCAAAGCGCGCTATGCTGCTGCTGGACAGGGATGGCCCGTGGGACACCTTCTTCACGCCGCTGATCTGGGTCATGAGCTGCTGCTTCTGCTGCTTCTTCTTCTCCCGTGTTTTGGACGTGGGCGATGGGATCTCCATCTCGTTCTGTTTGTCTGTGAGCAGGGGGGAGATTAGTGTTAGAAATCCATTTAATTTTAATAGCATCCTTCTTGTGTTCATGTGACATCACAATGAATCACAAAGCCTACAGTTTAACACTGTGGTTTAGGACAGATGGAAAATCTTTTCTGGTAAGTATGATGAGTGTCTAAAGCCAGATTCTAGTCACTGCATTTCCAGGTTCAATCCACATGAAACAAAAACTGCTTCTTCTTTACAATGAGCCTGTTCCCATCAGTACACATCAGTTTATGCAATAACCGCCGTTAGCATCTACCCCTGTGTGCTTGCTGAATCAAACCCACCACATGCCTTTCATAGAAATCAGTCACAGGAGCTCTTAACTGGGGGTTCATGGGAAGGGGCTGAACACCATACACCTGATTAACTTAGTGATGGTGCCAGTTAGCCAGACTGTTTGGGCACATTTAGAGCTAAAATGTCAGTACACTGAGTGAACACTGTCTGTTCACTCGTAGACATCGTCTGTTGAGACTGTTTCATTTCATTTGAAATGTTCATGTTGTAAATTGCACTTCAGAATATTGCAGCAACATATGATATGAAGTCATTATAATATGAACCTATTCAGTGAATTTTGACCAGCTTTGAATCCTCACTCAGATGTATTTGACATTTGAAAAAACAATTAACTGAAAGAGCTTTAAATGTGCTGTTGTCACATTATATTATAATCAAGAAGATAATCACACCATTTTTCATCTTTCCAATGGTGCATCAGTCCATCATTTAAGACACAGCATGCACATGGAACAACTATGGCCATGTGGTGTGGTCTGAGCAATAGTTTAACAACAAAGCATTCAGACAGAAGGGGCTGGGAGATTAGAACCAGGTTTTCTTATTAGATGTAGTAGCACTGTTTAAAGCATAATATAAATTATTTTTAATATTGACTGGGGCCTTGTATTAGCAACCTCCAACTCAAACCCCAGTATGTTTATTTTGGTCACATCCCAGTCCTTTCATCCAGCTCCTCCAGCCCTCTTGTGCCAGGAGGAATAGGAGGAGGGCTCCATCAAAGACAATTATTCATATGCAGCAGCAGCAGCAGCAGCAGCACAGTCTGTAGCCGTTCTTTGGTCAAAACAAGAGACATAATGTAATTTTCAACACCCACTTTGATCTACACTGATTTGCTTTGGGGATCTCCTCAGCCAGTTATTTTGTTTTTTTGAAGATGCATACAAAATGTTGTTATCAAGTCACTATTTGATTCTATGGGCTGAGAGCTGAGTGGTTGGATGTTTTTCACTTTAATGTCTGAAAAAGCTAATCTGAAGATGCGACAAAGGCCAAAATACACATGCATTTGAATACTCGACAAAATCATACTGTTTTGAGAGCGAGGAACTAGTAAATCAACTTATTTGATAGCATTGTGTTGCATTGCTTGATAATGCCCAATCTCTCCAACTCAGAGAAGTCAGTGGTAAGTGACTTCTTATCTAATCTATGTCTATCCGTGACTAGGCTCCTAGAAGTTTTGCTCATGCTCGCAAACCAGCGCATGAGAGGCGTTCAAATCAAAAATGCGTCATCAAATAAAAATGGGAGTTCCTCTGTATACCTCCGCTCCCCCCTCACATCGCCTGATCCTCAACCCACTCTATGGTTTCCCAGTTATCCAGACAGAATGCAAGACTGATCCACTGAGAGACTTCCACAGAAGGGTGATCAATTGATCCTTGGTGACTATAAATAGGCAGGGGATCTTTGTTGCTTTGGCTTCCACTGGCCTTTACAATCAAATGCATGTGTTTGTGCAGGCAATCTAAAGTCTACAATAATCAGAAAGTAATTTGCGGACTCTTCAATGCATTTGCAATGTTTTCACACACAAATATCATTAACGTCTTTTCCAAAACAACTCCTCCAACACCAGCCTAACTCCTATCCTCAAAGCACTTTCCATTCTCAAAGCAACGATTTTATTCGACAATTATTTGAATTCTGATCCAGATTTAGTCTTTTATTTTCCAACCTGGCACCTTGAGCCCCTAGACAAAGCTATGGCGCAGTATTTTCTGGTACGCCCCCACACCAACCAGAGCATCTCGCGCAGCAATGCGAAAAAATTGGAACCCCAGCACAAAGAACACATTTCACAAGCAGCATGGTTTTGTTTTATTGTGCAAAATTGTGTATTTTCGAGGGTATTGCTTGTACATTGACTTTTCTCTTTACCTAGGAAGGTGTTGGAGATGAACTCGGAGACTTGGTTCCCGGATCGACTCATCTCCGAGAGGTGCGTCAACTCCCGGTTCAACATTCTCTTGAACTGCAAACAGAGAAGAACAAGGGGCCATTATGGTCAGATCCAATAAATGGTCAGATATGATTCTATATTTCATCACCAGAGGCAGAAAACCATGTCTTGACGATAAAATGTTCATAATTACAGCACAAACACACACACACTCCAAATTCTGCAAAGAGCTTAAGATGGAGGATCTCAAAAATCGACATTACATCACGCAGCCATACATGTTTGCAGGTTAACGTTAAATGTAAGCATGCAATAGTTGACAAATGATTTTAAAAGACCGCTAAAATTGACATGGGACATGAAGGGCATCCCGTAGAGAGGCTGATATACCTTGATGTAACCCCACGACACAGACAGCAGATAATTTGCTTCAGGCATTTTGGACCCTGTTCTTTCCTTCCGAACCAAAGCCAGAACTGTAATCCAACGGAAAATGATTTATAAAAAGCAAGATGAAAAAAAGTGCGTTCCCTCTTACTCCTCCTGTTCCTTCAATGGGAAAAAATGCAGTTGTGGAAGCAGCTTGCTATCGGCTGCATCTCTGCACTGGGAAATAAGCGGATATTTCTCAAGAGTTCCATAGTCATCAGCCTCCTCTTCGCCTTAAGCCCAAAAGCGGGGTCCGAAAGCAAAGAGATGGGGTGGGCTGGAACGGTCCAACAAGAAGCCAGTCGCCAGTGGTGAATTGGAGCTGGACTGGTGCTGCGGATGACAAACCGCGCACTGAGGAAAAATGGAGAAAGCCAGAGAGAAGCCGAGCAGAGGAGGAGGAGGGAGGAGGAGAGAAGGAGGGTGGGAGATGTTTATCTGCAAGGGGGGGTTCCTCCAGAGCCACTGCAGCAGAATTTACACTCTGAACAGCCATACAGTTGCTACAGCACAACAGCAAATGCGATTCAGGTGATTTTATGGGGGTTGCCTGAAGGAACCGTCATGTTTCCGTGGAGATTTCTTAGCTTATGTCACTTTGTCAAACATGCAGAGAAAAGTAAGTGTTTTTGTGCAGTTCAAAACCATAACAGAGGTCTTAAAGGTCTGCAGAAACTGTGTGCACGACCGAATTAGAACATTGAAGCATTGAAACAGCTATTGGTCAAAACATTATCATTGAAATCAACAAAAACAATTATTCTCAAGATGTTTCAACTCATCATTTTCTATTTGACGCAATATATTTTTGTGGCAATGGAGTTATTAGGCAAGAGTACACCCCGATGACAAATTGTGTCTACTTTAAATTGTTGTTCATTTTGTATCTAATCGATCAAGCCTCGGGCGATCCCAGATGTCGGCCCATTCAAATCAACGGTCTGTGCTCATTGCCGTTGGGTCTCACCATGTTATTACACACAATGATACTGAACGAGGTCCACACAACGGGCAGCCGGCTTCCCCCATCGCCTGCTGTCTTATTTAATGACTACTTTGACAGGGAAACTCTATAATTGCACGTAGAACAATGAATAATCTGGGATTTTTTCATATATATGTTGAGCTTCTTTGCTGTCGCTCACTCTTATTCAGGGCCACAGAATGTCGACTGCCAGAGAGAGCAGCTGAGGAGAAGGGGATTTCTAGAGAGTTTCTATAGGGTGATGAATGTGTTCCAAGCAACGCATTTCCATTGGTTTTTCCACCTAATATAACACCTATATTAAAAAGCTATGGTACTGAACAAATGGATATCTTATTGGACCAGTAGGAACCAAACCTTGTTGATTAAAGGTGCTCTGTGTAATTTTTACAGTTGCTCTAAATGAAAAAAAAAACATGTTTACCAATACAAAACGTGACCTTTTCAAGAATATTTACCTCCACCATGTTTTTTAATTGTTGTCATAGGCTTAGAATTTGACTTATAAATGTCCATGAGGCTGGAGGACTCTATACGTCAATGCGCCATCTTGGAATACAGTAGGTGATAAGGGACAAAAAGGAGTTTGAGCGGGAGTTGGGGACCCACTGTCAAAGACGATTTATTGTCCTGCGAAGCTAACATAGTGCCATAAATTACAATATATGATCTCAATGCTCACCTTCCCGAATGAGCATGAAATCTCCAAATCATCAGTACAATCAAGACACACAACAAACTACTTCAAACACGCCCACCTCACAATTTCAGTGGCTAAGAACAATTTATTTCTGATGAATTGGACGACAGCACTTTCCCTATTGTTTGTAACGAATGAATTCTTATGTATATTCTTGGATGCCACCTTGAGAATGCCACAGAACATTTCATTCTTTCATTCTTTTCTGTTATGAATTCGCATTTCTGAAACTGTCTGTAGATCATAATAGTTTTACGCGAAATTTGAAAAAGCATATTTTAGATCATCAATCGTGTCAGCATTGATGAATGTATTGTAAACTGTAGGGATTGTTTATATGTTTTTTTTTTTTTAGAAATGTACAGAAAACTAATGTATTTTATATAGTGATTTTATTGTAGATTAGATTTATAGATTGTAATGTTTTTTGTACTCACCTGTCCAGGGACTGCAGATGGAAAATAGCTACTTTGCTAAATCTGGTACAAATCATCTCTTCTTTTGTAAAGACTAATGGTTTTGTACACTGTCCCTGTTTCAATAAAAAAAAGAAAAAAAAAGAAAAAAATAATCAGTAAATTATGGGGAAAATAAGTGTTGTATATATGAACACATGGATCCAGGATATTTCTTAGGCATGAATTCACTAAGAACTAAGAAGAGGCTAAGAACAATTTATTTCTGATGAATGGACGACAGCACTTTCCCTATTGTTTGTAACGAATGAATTCTTATGTATATTCTTGGATGCCACCTTGAGAATGCCACAGAACATTTCATTCTTTCATTCTTTTCTGTTATGAATCAGTAAATTATGGGGAAAATAAGTGTTTTATATATGAACACATGGATCCAGGATATTTCTTAGGCATGAATTCAGCTTCCAGCACCAATAAAACATTGTTGTCAGCATTGATCGATGGATGAAATATTCCAATGCGTTAGAATTTCAGGCATTTACGTGTTCTGTTTTAGGCTCCACAATCCCATTTACTTTGCCCATTTATCCGCCTTTGTGAAGGAACACCATTGAAGCACTTTAGATCTCTCCTCGACTTCGTAAAACAATAAAACCCAGATTATAATTCAGGGGCGTGTGCGGGGAGCCCATTTTAATAACAGTCTCTGCTTCTGCTTTTTTATACCACCCATTATATCTATCACGCTTCGCCTTCCTGTGCTCTCCAGAGTCTTCCATGGCATTGTGCAGAAGTCATAAGCCTGTTCATTATCCGCTTCCCACAACAATATCAGATGCTGTCAGGGTGTCTGCGGACGGCTATTTTTAACCACAGGCAGAGGAGGGGGGACACTCAAAAAGCACAGCAGAAACCAACGGACGAGACACAATGGAACGAGCAGTGGAAGAGCGTGATGCCCTTTCACCACCGAAGACCGTGGACTCCACATGGGGCTGCAGGAGTTTTAAGACATCCATCCATTTTCTACCCTTTAATCCATTTCTGGGTCAGGGGGGTGGCAGTCAGAGATGCCACCCAAGTCTCATAGCACCAGCCCCTCACTGACCCTCTGCAGGTGGTGAGTCCACAGGAGGACGGCTGCTCTCTGACTGTGAGCATAGCCTTGATCTTTCAGTGGGGGCTTTGGGCAAAGTGGGGTTAAGTGTCTTGCCCAAGGACACAATGACAGCAGTCATCAGTGGGAGTCGGTGGAGAAGGTGCAGAGGTGGTAATTGAACCCACGACCTCTGGGCTTAAGGCCAATGCTCTACCAACTGAGCCACTGTCACCCTGTCGAGTTTTAAGACATTAGTCAGAAAAAACATGTCAGAGCTCAAAATGCAATTCGTAGTCACTGTATATTTTGCACTTCTCTGTCTTAAGAAGCAAAAGATGTGAGAGAGGCAGCACGGTGGCTGAGTGGATAGCACTCTCGCCTCTCAGCAAGAAGGTCCTGGGTTTGAATCCCGGTCGGACCAGGGCCTTTCTGAATGGAGTTTGCATGTTCTCCCCGTGTCTGCGTAGGTTTCCTCCGGGTACTCCGGTTTCCCCTACCGCTAAAAATATGTCCAATAGTTCTGGCATGCGCCTCCTGTACTGGCCCCTCCCATCTCTGTGTGGAGTGAGAGACAAATGCCCAAAATTAACAATTGTAAACCGCTTTGAGACTCAGATCTGCAGTGAAAAGGCGGTATATAAATAAAGATTACTTAAAGATTACTAATCGCTAATATGTGAAAACTAGTCTAAACAGTTTTAGATTTTGGAACCATTTGACGTTAACACATGAAATATTTACATTTTGTGAGGACTGAAAGCGATAAGGGCGACAGTGGCTCAGTTGGTAGAGCAGTGGCCTTTGAGCCTGAAGGTTGTGGGTTCGAGCCCACCGTAAGACCTACTTCACGACTCCCACTGATGACTGCTGTCGTTGTGTCCTTAGGCAAGACACTTAACCCCACTTTGCCTGAAGCTCCCACTGAAAGATCTCAGCTTCTGTGGACTCAGCAGCTGCAGGAGGATCAGTGAGAGGCTGGTGGACTGGGTGCATCTCTGACTGACACCCCCCCGACCCAGAAATGGATTAAGGGGAAGAAAATGGATGAAAGTGATAAGAACCCCTGATTCATTTGATGTTATTAGCCACATTACAGGATGGAGTGATAACTTGCACTTCTCTTTCTAACACATATCTGTGCTTTTAGGATAAATAGCTGTTTTTTTCAGTGGGGAATCAGCAGATATTGAAAGGTTAAGCATCAAGGCCGGCATCAGGTATGAAACATCTGAATTGCTTCTCTTAAAGATTCGCTCTTTCCATGGGTAAAAATATATATTGTGTTTCTTGTAATAAATATTTTTCCTATTTCTTTAGATACAATTATTTTTACTACAGTAGCTCAGTTGGTAGAGCATTGGACTTTGGGCCCAAAGGTCGTGGGTTCGAGCCCACCATGGGACCTTGGTGGACACAACAACCTGCTGTTGTTGTGTCCTT